TTTTATAGCAAAAGAACACACGTCCTCAGCACGTTTTTACAATTCTTATAAAATGCATACTGATAGATTTGCTACCTTTTGGAAACAAATTCCACACACACACTTCCATCCATCCCCATAAGTAAGAATGTATACAAAAAAATACAAAGAAAGGAACAGGTACAGATGTTATAGTACTTTTCACAATGAGTACTGTGAACAGTACTGACTGAGTAACGTTTTTATGTAAGAAAACAAAAGAATCAGTCCAAAAAATCGGAACTATGTAAACTCCTAATTTTCTTGTTTTATATTTCAGTTATGGGCATTGCTAAATTTCAGACAATTCACATTACAATGCAGGAAAAATAGAAAGGAGAGCGCCAACGGGGGATAACTGCAATGGACTTTCACACAATAGTTGTTCCAGTGTGCCTTCCCAGAATAAAGAAAACTCTTAGCAATATGTCCTCAAATGCACTTTAATATTGATTTAGGATTGTCTGCGTGCCCTCATCTTTCTCTGAAAACCCTATCCTAGTTTACCCTATCCTGTTCATGCCCAGCATTTTTAATTTTTAAAATTAAATTTTTTTGTGTATTTTTTTTGTTTTTTAGTTTATTTAACTGTTTTGTATTGGCTATTTGTTATTGCTTTTATTGATGTGTTTATTGATGTGCTGTGGGCTTGGCCTCATATAAGCTGCACCGAGTCCCTTGGGGAGATGGTAGCGGGGTACAAATAAAGTTTATTTATTTATTATTATTATAGTTATAGCACTTTGACATGCATAGCTTCATCCTACTGAATTCTGGGATTCGTATTTCACAAGGTGTCTGGAACTCTTTACTAGAGAGCTCTATAAAGGTAAAGGTTTCCCCTTGACATTAAGTCTAACTGTGTCTAACTCTGGGGGGTGGTGCTCATCTCCATTTCTCAGCTGAAGAGCCAGCCTTGTCCAGAGACCCTTCTAGAACATGACTGCATGGAGCACCGTTACCTTCCTGCCTGAGTGAAAGCTACTGATGTGCTCACATTTACATGTTTTCAAACTGCTAGTTTGTCAGAAGCTGGGGCTAATGACAGGAGCTCACCCCACTCCATTAACCTTTTGATCAGCAAGTTCTGCATCTCAGAGATTTAACCCACTGTGCCACTACGGCCCCAGAGAGAGCTCTGTTCCTTCTCAAAACTACATAACCAGGATTCCATAGCTTGCATTCTTAGCAGTTAAATCAACACACAATTACTGCAATGTGACTGGGCAAAGATCTTAGAATATATATATATGTGTATATATATATATATATGTAACTATAGTCCCAGAATCCAGTTGCTGTTGTCTGAGAAAGTTTAAAATTCCAAGGTCTTGGAGAAAAAGCCTGCAACTGAGCATAGTTATAATATGGTTGTTCTGTATTTCATTTTATTTCTTTTTATTGTATTCACAATAAAATTTGGCTGGTTGGATTTGTGGTTCTTCCTTTTCCCACTTTTACTTGTCGAACCCCATGAATGTACAATCGCCTGTCTTTAGTCCCTTCCCGCCCCCAAGAATTCATTTTCTCAAGATTTCTTTGTGTTTCTACAAATGTCAGCATTCCCCTGAGCATATACAACTATATGTTCCTCTTCTTTGATTGCGTCCTTGGCTGCACAAGGATTGGATACATCCCTAAACTTTACTATTAATAGAAGCAATCAATACAGCCTTCACCAACTAATGGAGGTACAAAGGGGAGGAAGACATAAAGGTGCTCAAGTCATTGCCCAGTGCAGTGCATCTCAGGTTAAAACTCTTCCCAGATATATGTAAACAAACTCTGATTCGGTTGCTGGCAGTCAATGGAGAAGATACTGATGCCTTCCTGTGACTTGTAGGTGCTATTTGGCAAGCAGTAATGTAAGACACTAAGTTTTTTTTAAGCACAGCTAGAATCAAATTCTCAATTCTGCTTTAACTGCCAGGGCAGCATCTTGTGGAACCGAGGCTTGTAGTTTGGAGAGGCTATACCTGCTCTCTGGTTGATAACTCTAAACAGCTCTCTCTAAACTACAGATCCCAGGACTCCACAGGTTGCTGCTAAGGCAGTAAAAGTGGAATTATCACACTATAGAGCTGTGAAAAGGCACTTGTAAGCTATCCTGGACATATACAGTGCAATACAGATTTGTCTATCCTTCTATATCTGGTATATTTTGAACACAAGGCTGCTCGACAGCAGTATGTGTGAAAAAGATCTTGGGAGTCCTCATGGTCAATAAGTTAAACATGAGACAACAATGTCATGCAGCAGCTTAAAAAGCCAATGGGATTTTGGCCTGCACAAACAGGAGTCTAGATCCAGGGAAGGCACACTACCCCTCTATTCTGCCTTGATCAGACCACACCTGGAATCTCACTGTGTCCAGTTCTGGGCACCGAAGATGCTGACAAGCTGGAATGTGTCCAGAGGAGGGTGACTACAATGATCAATGGTCTGGAGAACAAATCCTATGAGGAGCAGCTTAAAGAGCTGGGCATATTTAGCCTGCAGAAGAGAAGACTGAGAGGAGGCATGATAAGGGCCATGTATAAATATGTGAGGGGAAGGCATAGGGAGGAAGGAGCAAGTTTGTTTTCGGTTGCCCTGGCTTCAAACTACAGGAAGGGAAATTCCACCTGAATATGAGGAAGAACTTCCTGACTGCGAGAGCCGTTCAGCAGTGGAACTCTCTGCCCCGGAGTGTGTGGAGGCTCCTTCTTTGGAGGCTTTTAAACAGAGGTTGGATGGCCATCTGTCAGGGGTGCTTTGAATGCAATTTTCCTGCTTCTTGGCAGGGGGCTGGACTGGATGGCCCACAAGGTCTCTTCCAACTCTATGATTCTATGACTCATCCTTTAAGTGTTTCCTATTCTTGAGGATGCATTTTATTTTTTTCAGAAGGAAAACTGCCATGTTGGTTTGTTGCCAAATGGGGAAGGGTGACATAAGCAATATGACACAAACAACAATCAGTGTGGTGTTGTGGTTTGAGCACTGCATCTATGCTATAACAATGTGGTTTGATGCCACTTTAACTGCCATGGCTCAGTGCTATAGAATCACGGGAATTGTTGTTTGGCAAGGCCTTAAGTTTGCTATTCCAAAGTTGGTTAGTGCCTCACCAAACCATAATTCCATAGGATCCCATAGCATCAAGCCATGGCAGTTCAAATGGCATCAAACTTCATTAATCCTACAGTGTAAACTTTGGAAATAAACTACATCTAAAGCAAGTTTAACTGTCATGTCATTCCATTAAAAAGAGCCAGTGGGGTGCTGTGATTGTGACTTTGGATCCCAGGGTTCAAATCCAGATGAGCCAGGACTGACCTTGGCTAGGTCACACTCTCTTAGTCAAAGCAAACCCTGAGGGTCACCATTAGCCAGAAGGTACACAACAACAACAACATGCCATAAAATTGGGACAGAGGGACTACAAAAGTCATAAGCCCAGAAAGAAAGCCAAGGTGAGGGCTATAAAAGAGTTCATCCCCACCTCTGGTTGTCTCTTCCTTTCACCCTCCAGGTATTTTGAACTTGGTCTCCCAGAATCCTTAGCTGAGACCTACATTGCCTTGGGTTTCTGGGAGGGCCTTTCCACACAGCCATATAACCCAGAAGATCAAGGCAGAAACGCCTACAATATCTGCTTTGAACTGAGTTATATGAATCCACACTGTCATATATCCCGGTTCAAAGCAGATTATGAAGGATTTTATTCAGTTGTGTGGAAGGGGCCTAAGTCTAGTCATGCCTGGTTCTGTGGGTGGTGCTCATCTCCATTTCTAAACTGAAGAGCTGGTGTTGTCCATAGATGCCTCCAAGGTCATGTGGCTGGCATGACTGCATGGAAGACCATTACCTTCCCGCTGAAGCGGTACCTATTGAGCAACTCACGTTTGCATGTTTTCAAACTGCTAGGTTGGCAGAAACTGGGGCTAACAGCGGGAGCTCCCTGGATTCAAACCACCCACCTTTTGGACAGGAAATTCAACAGCTCTGGAGGCCCCTATATTGCAAAATATCAAGTCAGAAAATCCCACAATATCTGCTTTGTACTGCCCTTCCACACAGCCCTATATCCCAGGATAGCAAGACAAAAAAATACCACACTGCTGAATAAAATCTGCATTATCTGCTTTGAACTGGGATATATGGCAGTGTGGCCTCAGATGACCCAATTTGAAGCAGATATTGTGGGATTTCCTACCTTGACATTCTGGGCTATAGGGCTGTGTGGAAGGGCCCTGAGTATACACGGCCATGTATCCCAGTTCAAAGCAGATGACATGGGATTGTATTCAGCTGTGTGGAAGAGACCCCAAATAAGCCAGTTTAAAGCACATATTGTCTTGATATTTTGGGTGATATGGTTGTGTGAAAGGGCCCCCCAGTTGGCGTCCTCAAAAACCCTTTGGGCCCTTCCCCACAGACCTATATCCCAGAATCTCAAGGCAGAAAATCCCACATTATCTGAGTGTGGACTCAGATGACCCAATTCGAAGCAGATGTTGTGGGACTTTCTGCCTTGATCTTCTGGGATATGGGGCTGTGTGGAAGGGCCCTGGGTGACCTGCGTCCACACTCAGAGAAGATGGGATTTTCTGCCTAGGTATTCCGGGCGATAGGGCTGTGGGGAAGGGCCTTGAGGTGGGCGCCACTGAGCCTTACTGGAGGAAGAGGACGGCCGTGTGTGGCCGAAGGCTAGGAAATCCTGGGAGGCGAGGAGTGCCCGCTCCGGGGATCCCTCCGTCAGCCTGGGGCCAGGCGCTGCAAGCGGTGTCCAAGTGCGGCGTAGACGCGCCCCGAGCCGGACGAGGCGGTCCCTGGCGGGGCGTCGCCGGGTTGGAGGAGGAGGAGGAGGAGGAGGAGGAGGGGAGGGAGGAAGAGGAGGCGGCTTGGGCTTTTCCTGCCGCGGCGCCGGCTGCTGCGTCGTTGGCTGGCTGGCTGGCTGCTCTCGGAGGGAGGAGGAGGAGGATCCTCCTCTCGGGGAGGCGGCGGAGGCGGCGGCGGCTGGATGGGCTGCATCGGCGGCCATGGGGGAGCAGCTCAGCACGGCCAGCAGCCCTCCGGAGCCCCCTCTCCCTCCGGCCGAGGGACCCCAGCCTCCGCCGAGGAGCGCCTCCGCTGAGTCCACCGCCGCCGCCGCCGAAGAGGCGCCCCCTTTGGCGGCGGAAGGGGCCAACAGCAACAGCAGCAGCAGCAGCAGCACCCGCCGCCTCCCGGCTCGCAGGCCCGGCGTCTACTGCACCGTCTACTGCGTGGAGGGCGAGCTTCAGCCCGGCGGAGGAGGAGGAGGAGAGGCGTCGGCCGAGCAGCCCTCCCCGCCTGCCTCCGCCTCGCCGCCTCCGCCAAGCCATGGCGGCCCCGGAGAGAACAACAACAGCAGCAGCAGCAGCAGCAACGGGGGGCTGGAGGTGGTGGACCTCTACCTGCTCCCGGAGCCCTTCTCGGGGCTGCTCGCGGCGGACTTCGGCCCCCTCCTGGTCCTCACCTGCCGCGTCTGCCTGGAGGAGAAGCCCCTCAAGCCGCTGCCCTGCTGCAAGAAGCCCGTCTGCGAGGAGTGCCTCAAGCGCTACCTCAGCTCCCAGGTCAGACAGGCTTCCTCCCTCCCTCCCTCCCTCTCTCTCTCTCTCTAGGGCACGGGGCGCACTTGCATAGTACCTTGGCGCCTCTGCAAACTACAATCCCCCAGGATCCCACCGGCATTCAAAGTCTGGAGCCGCCCTGGGCCAGGTTCGGCCCTCCTCCAAGGGTTTAGGACTTCTTCTCCCACAAGTGAACAGCCGGTGACGGTAGGCTGTTAGGACTGGTGGGAGTTGAAGTCCGAAACACCTGGAGGAGGGCCGAAGTTGGCCCAGGCCTGGTCTGTAGCCTCCTCTACAAATTCCAGGTTCCCATCGCATTCTGCCCTCCTGGTAGTTCAAGGGATGCCAAACTGCATCCCTTCTACAGTATAGATCAGGCCTGGGCAAACATGGGCCCTCCCTCCAGGTGTTTTGGACTCCAACTCCCACCATTCCTAAAAGCCTCAGGTCCCTTTTTTCCCCTTAGCCACTTAAGCGGGAAAGGGGGGAAAGGAAAGGACCATGCATGGGCACATTTGGTCCCTCCAGGTGTTTTGGACTGCAATACCCACCATTCCCAACAGCCTCAGGACCCTTCCTTTTCCCCCTTAGCCGCTTAAGTCAGAAAGGAAAAAGGAAGGGATCAGGCTTGGGCAAACATATGCCCTCTGGGAGTTTTGGACTCCAACTCCCACCATTCCTGACAGGAAAGGGCCTGAGGTTGTTAAGAATGGTGGGAGTTAAAGTCCAAAACACCTGGAGGGCCCAAATGTGCTCAGGCCTGGTGTAGATGCAGCCAAAAGCCGGTTGTCTCAATCTGCTACAGACAGTCCCTGAGGGCCCTTCCACACAGTCATATAACTCAGATTATCAAGGCAGAAAATCTCATAATACCTGCTTTGAACTGGGTTAGTTGAGTCCTCACTGCCATATATTCCAGTTCAAAGCAGATATTGTGGGATTTTCTGCCTTGATATTCTGGGTTATGTGACTGTGTGGAAGGAGCCTGAGTTATAAACATCTGACTTACAAACAACTCCTAGCTAAGAATGGGGGTGAGACAACCGGAAGGGAGAGAAATCTATCCCCAGGAAGGGAAATTCACTCCTGGAAGAGGAAGATGTTATCAGGGGCAAATCATTGTTTCCACAACAAACCACATTTTTCCAAACCCATTTCTCACAGAGACAGAAAGTGAGGTGAAATCTTCTGAACAGAGACACAGACAAAAGCAAAACAAACAGGAGCCCCTGGTAGTGCAATGGGTTAAACCCTTGTGCTGGCAGGACTGCTGACCAAAAGGCTGGCTGTTTGAATCCAGGGAGCGGGGTGAGCTCCCATCTGTCAGCTCCTGCTTCTCATGCAGAGACATTAGAGAAAGCCTCCCATAGGATGGTAACACATCCGGGCGTCCCCTGGACAACGTCACTTGCAGGTTCTCAAGTCGCTCCTGACACGAATAAAGCAAAACAAACCTCACAGGAGTGTTCATCCTTCCCTATGCTATCCAAAGCTTGTGTGTGTATAAAATTTTCTTACCCACTTCTACTCATGGATCCAGGCGGGTTACAAAACAATTAACATACATAAGTGCAGCAAAAACACTACAAATACACACACACTAAAACATACCTCAACATATATGTATACACTTATATGTATATAGCTAGAGCAATGGTTATCAACCTGTGGGTCCCCAGGTATTTCTGGGAGTTTGGCCTTCAACTCCCAGAAATACTAACAGCTGGAAACTGGCTGGGATTTCTGGGATTTGTAGGCCAAAACTCCTGGGGACCCACAGGTTGAGAACCACTGGGCTAGAGTTACACTTAAAAATGAACCTGTTCCAACCCTCTCTTGTTTGTAACTTGGGGTCTGCCAGTGCTTCCCTCACTTCCTTGAGAGACAGCTTCTGCTCCTGAGCCACCTTCTCTTTGAGTCCCATGGCAATATTTTGCTCCTCCTTCCTTGTATTTGTTTGTTTCTGTATCTCCCTGTTGGCGCTGAACATATGTAGAGTTTCATTCCCAGAGTAAACAGTACTTGACCAAATACACATCTGAGATTGGAAGGCCTCCAGGGCAGGAGAGACAGCATCCAAGCAGATTTGAGCTCTGCCTTTAACTTAAGAGGACTAAGGCTGTGTCTAAACTGTTGAATTAACACAGCTTCACAGCGCATTAACTGCCATGGCTCAATTCTCTGGAGCCCTAAGAGTCGTAGTTTTTCAAGATCTACTTTTCTGAAGTTTTCTGATGCCTCACCAAACTACAATCCCCATTATTTATCTGCAGTTAAAATGGTGTGAAACGGCATTAATTATGTAGTTCAGATGCACCCTAAATCACTGCCTCTCACTTCCCTTTGTCATATGCCAGCATTTAGCCCTTGAAGTGTGAAATGATGCTGGCGTTTATTTACTCCCCAAGTTTGTTTATATTCATAGAGTTGGAAGAGATTACATCCAATCCGATCCCCTGTCAATCAGAAACGCACTCCTCCTTTTTTCTCACTCCTTTTTTTTTCTAGTTTATGGTCCTGTTTTTAACCTTCTGTGTCCCTTCCCCAGTGTCATACTTCCCTCTGTGGACACTGGGAACTGTCTCCTTCCTTCTACTTCAACCTTTTCCCTTTCCATCCTGGCCCTTCCTTATTCCTTCTCAATTTCCCTAAAGTCCTCCAGGTGTTTTGGGACTTCAACTCCCAGAAGCCCCAGCCAGGTTGGTCAACTGTCAGGAATTCTGGGAACTGCAGTCAAAAACACATGGAGGTTGGGAACAATTATTCTGAAGCCTCCTAGAGTGCATCTGCACTGTAGAATTAATACAGTTTGCCACCACTTTAACTGTTATGGCGCAGTGCTAGGAAATCCTGGGAACTGTAGTTGGATGGGGCACCAGCATTTCATCAGAAAAGGCTAAAGACCTTGTAAAACTGCAACTCTTTGGATAACATAACATTGAGCCATGACTATTACATAGTGTCAAACTGCATTAATCCTTTGATATAGACATCCCCCTAAAATAGGGCCACCCACTATTTGTTTAGTCTTCCCTTATCCCTGGAGATAACAACCATAGTGCCTTGTCTCAAACCCTGATTTCTCATTTATGCAAGAGTGTCTCAATTTGTATCAGCTGATTCCTTATCTCTGTGTAAAGTTCTTACAGACCACTGAAGGCACTGTGTGATGAGTAGATAATGATGCATCAGTTAGTCATTGTCGTCTCTCTTCTTTTAGTCTACTCACTGCTGTAGGACCAGCACCAAAAAGGTGAACAAATGTTGGAATAGGAACATGCACATTTAGGTATTAAGAAACACTACATGCATGTAGATGTGCTTTTCATTTTTTTACTTGTTCAGCTATCCAAAACAATACATTTCCAGCGTATATGGCTGTAGCTCTCTCAAACTGATCCCTGAAAGTATTCTGTGCTGACTTTTAAAGACGTTTACCTAAGAGTATCTGCATATTTTGTTTCCTTTTCAACTTTCAAAGCTTTGCCAGAGATCTTTCATCCACATTTGTGCAAACATTAACACAGGAAAGATTTGGATTGGTGTATCAGGGAGGAAAAACCCCACAAAAGAAAGACTTTTTGAGATTAACATAAATGTCACCACACAAAAAGTGGAAACTTCCTTGTTTTCTGCTACTTTCCAAGTAAAGTTGGGATGGGGAGGATGTCATTGGTTATGCTGGTGCATAGATATCTGCTGTTTTGATCGATCTTGTGGTCCTTTTTTAAAAGCAATTTCAGAATGACCAGTTTTTTAAATAGCTTTTGTGTTTTGATTATATGTTTCAAATTGTTTTGTTATTTTTGATAATTTAATTATATTTTGATATTAAGATTTTTTTTGTTTTAGTTGGGTTTGTTTCCATTTGTAAGATGTCATTAATCCCCATTTGGAAGGAAAGGTGGGATATCAATAACAACAACAGCCAGCAGGTGCTCCTGTGTGCTGCTTTAAACTACACTCTGGAGAATCTACTGAGGAATAAATTGAATCATTAGCAGACAGACCCCTATCTTGCTCTTTTGCATCTCAGCTTGAACAAAACAATGTTCCCTACAACACCTATCAAAACAATATGAGAGAAATTATTTATATCTTGCCTTTCCTCCTATAAGTTTAAGGTAGGTTAGATAGGTTTTCTCCTTCAGCTTTCATCCTTTCAACAACCTTGTCAGGCTCTGTGAAAGAGACATTGGGTGGTTCAATATCACCCAGTGGATTTCATAGTCCAGTGAAGGACTAAAACTTGGATTTCCTAAGTCTGGATGCAACACTTCATTCCTTACACTAGACTGAGACTTGAAGCAAGAAAGTGTTTGGTAGAGTAGAGCTCAGTGTGACTCAGTTTTGAAATGAAACAGATGATTTCCCTGTCTTCATCACACTGTTAAATGTATCTGTGTTACGCAGATGTACTCAGCATTCTTTCAATAGATTTGCCATCACATTGTAATCGCTAGGCACTGCCCACCATCCCTCCCCCTGTGGGGAAAAACCTCCTCTCTTTGAAATGTTAGCTGTTACCTGTTTTCAATTCCAGAAGCAAGGAAGCAGGGAAGGAGAGAGGGAAAGTGGCGATGTGCTTGCTCTTTCTCGCCTTCTCGGCTGCCCCACAGAGAGCGGACCTTGGAAAACCTTAACTCCCAGGACTGCATAGTATGGAGCTATGGAATTAAAAGTAAGGTCCAGCTGCATTCATTTCACAGTGTAGATGCACCCAGAGAAGGGTATGGACCTTGGAAAACTATAACTTCCAAGAGGACTCCATCGCATGGAGCCATAGCATTTAAAGTGGGGTACAAGGGCATTCATTCCATACTGTAAATTAATCAAGAGAATCATAGAATCATAGAATCAAAGAGTTGGAAGAGACCTCATGGGCCATCCAGTCCAACCCCCTGCCAAGAAGCAGGAATATTGCATTCAAATCACCCCTGACAGATGGCCATCCAGCTCTGTTTAAAAGCTTCCAAAGAAGGAGCCTCCACCACACTCTGGGG